TTTAGGGCTTAGGGTTTCGGGCTTAAGGTTTAAGGACGAAAAGGGTACTAAGTACCATAAGGGAACTATCAGGGTGTATAAGGACTACTGCAAGGGTACCATGAGGGTACTGCATGGGCTACTCTAGGGATGGCCACCATAGGGGCACATATAATGGTACCGTAACAGTGCAATAAAGGTTGTTCGGCGGCCTACAGGGGTGCGATAAGGCTAAGAAAAGGTGCGATAAGGGTACTGTAAGGGTACTGTACAAGTACCATAAAGGGGACTATGAGGGTACTATAAGGGGACTACAAAGGGTACGAGAAGGCTACTTTCAGTTTCCATAGGGCTCCGCATATTGGTGTGAGGGGCCGGCGTCTTCAGTGCGGGTCTAGGATTTCCGGCCCAAAAGCGCAAACCCTGAACCTTAAACCCTAGCAAGGGTGACTTAGCATAACATGGGGTTGGGCTTCATTGATATAAACTGCCGACCCTCGACCCCCAAACCCCAACCCTTAAACCCTAAGCCCTAAACCCTAAATCCTAAACCCTTAAACCCTAAGACCTAAACCCACAACCCTTAAACCATAAGACCTAAGACCTTGATTGGGGCTCTGGGGCTGTGGGTTTAGGGTTTTGCTGCTGTCAGATGGGACACCATGGGTTTAGGGTTTTGGGTTGGGGGTTTGGGGTTTTGGGTTTAGGGTTCAGGGTTGACTGTTTAGGGTTCAAGGTTTAGGTTAAGCTTTCCACAACTCAAGAGAGGCGCCCCAGACTCCCAAATAAAAGGTTTTGAGGATAAACCGACCCTTGACAGTACACCCGGCTGCAAGCAATTCCTTCGTGCGGTCTGATCTGCGCGGGGTTTTGTGCGAAAACCTTCGGGCGCCAACGTCCGATGCGTGTGCTGAAGCGGGAACTCGAGCCCCCGACTGACCATGCCTTGCCATTGGCAGCACCGCGGCCGCGTCCTCGCCCCTTCCCCGACCTGGCGACTCAAGCATAACATTAATCCCCATGTGTGTGTATATACATACATACATACATACATACATACATACATACATACATACATACATGAGACAATATAGTGTGTATATATATATATAATGAAAGATGCATCGAGGTGCTTACAGTGTGGATCCTTCAGGCTGGCAGTCGGAGGTTCGGAGTTGCACTAAATTTGTGTCAAGGTCGTATTTTCTGGGTAGCCGGCGTTGGCTGAGCTCCGCGCCCCTGGCAACGACAACATTGGTACAGCTGTTTCTGTGTCTCTGGCATAAGTTGCTTGAGGTGCTAGGGAGCTAGGGCTGCTGGGACGGCTTCTCCATTGGAACCACAGCAGAGCGCCGGCGAAAGCTTTTTTTCTTCGACAGCACTTCACTGGCTGGAACCGATGTCAGAGCCCTCGAAAGCGCCCAACAAACGCTCAGATGGCACTTGACAGAGATGTTGACTGCGATTCTACTAGATATCCGCTCCACACCTTGAGCGGACTCGGGCAAAGCTGCCACAAGCAACCTTACGATTCCTGGGCGGCGGACACAACACCCAGGTTTTGGGACCCTAAGCTTTCTCCATGAGCGTCTTCGCCATCTTCTGGAACACATCCATGCCGCGGCGAAGCACCCTCTCTTTCCAGAAGTCGGTCCTGACGTAGAAAGCATCTTGCCTCCGAGGTTCGTTCGGCTTTGTGGTGGAGGCTGTTCCAAGACTTCGAACCACTGGTACCCCTGTAAAAGGGCCCCTTATAACTGCTAAGCATCCGACACGTAGGGTCGATGCTAGGGCCCCTTGCAGTTATGAAGCTCAGATGTGGGATGTTCAGCTTTTGTGCTCGGGCGCCGAGGATGTGGGCATGACCAGAGAACCCCAAAACCTAAAGGCCAACAAAGGGTTTAGGGTTTAGGTTTAGGGTTTAGGGTAAAGGCCGTAAGAAGTACAAGTAAAACCGGTTGAGGGTCAGGGAAGTTCAGGGTTCAAAGCTCAGGGTTCACCCGAAGCAGAGATTGAGCCCTGTTGCGTGAAGGTGCGCCAGAAGTCATGGTTGCCGCGGTCATAATGGAAGCCAACGTTTTCCAGCATCAAGGCCCTCGCCACCGCCAGCGACGGAAGGGTGCCAAACTCTTGCTGCACCAGGAGGGCTCGCCCAGAATCTGGAGGAAACCAGGATGTTACCCAATCTCCGGACAGCACTCCGACCTTAGAGGAGGAAACATCTGCAGGCTGACAACCTACGCAGGTGCTTTCGGGTTTTAGTGCTTTCGTGACTTAGGGCCCATAGAAGGCTCTGGGTGGGGTTCGGGATGCTACCTATGACGGACCTCGCATTGGGCATGGGATGCTCTTCTCGCTCACTAAGTCTTCTAAATACTAAATCGCTACTTAAACCCCCCTACTGTTGCTGTGACCATGCAACTCATGCAACCTTACAGTGTGCCGGGAATTTAGAACAATTATTTGAGCAAGTTTGCCAAAGCAATCTTGCCCCTTGCCCCAATTGGGGTGTGGGGGGGGGGGCAAGATTGCCAGCAAGCTTGGTCAATCTTGGCCTAAAAGGTAAACTAGTCGACAAGCAAGTGGGGCAAGTGGGGCAAGATGACCAAGATTGCTGGCAATCTTGCTTTTGACCAAGATTGACCAAGATTGCCAAGATTACCAAGATTGCCAAGACGGCTCCACAAAATACGTGTTCTAAATTCCCGGCACAATGCAACATTACTAAGCTACTGTGCCTGACCACCAAGCGAGTAGTTCTTTAAATTAGGGTCCCTCTGTGTACGTCCCAAAAGTAGGACGGCACCCTTACAAAAGAACTCTAAAAGGGACCCTCATTTAGAGAACTACCCAAGTGTCACGCTAAGCCTCCAAGCCACCAACCTCACGACCGAGCTCTGCGTCCGACAGAGCTCAAAGCTCAAGATTTTAGGGTTTTCTTTACAGAAACCCCTCCCTGTAAAAGTTTTGAGGTCCACCAGAAGGGAACACTGCCTTCAACCCTTCTAAACCCCCACGAACCAAACCCCAAACCTTCGCGACAAACCCCATGAACCCCAAAATCCTCTGGGGACTCTTGCAGGGTGGGGCCTGAACAGCTTTAGGTCCGCATACACCCTTGTTGGGCGAATACTGATGCACTGCAGCTGTACTCTACAACTGCTGTACCGCGACGACGACGACTACTACTACTGCTACTACTGCTACTGCTACTACTGCTGTACTATTGCACCACAACTGCACCACTACCATACTACTACTGTACCCCTGCTGCTGCACCGGGGGCAGGGACGGGACTTGCTGGAAACTGTTTGGGTGCCAAGGACAGTGCGCAACGTTTGGGATCTTACTGTAGCTATATATATATATATATATGTATGTGTGTATATATATACATAGATAAATAGTTAAATAGATAATGGAAAAAGGAAAAAGTTCGGATGGTCCCAGCAGGGCTGAATAACAGCCCGGCTGACGCGAGACCAAAATGCGACAAGTGTTGCTAGTCCGAGGCGCCGTGTACTTCGGCTTAGGGTTTAGGGTTGTTGATAGTCCGAGGCGCCGTGTACTCGTATCCACCCGCCTGCGAAGAAGAGAACCTGCCCGAATTCACGTCCAGCTCGCCCGGGCCGCACCTTCGGTCGAGGGCGGAGACGCCAAAGCCGCCTTGAAATCCATCGAACTCCCCTTCCACTTTGGGGAAGATCTCCTGGGTCAATAGGGTTCAGGGTTTAGGGTTTAGGGTTTAGGATGGCTGTCAAAGCTGTGGCTATGGCTGTTGTATCATGCAGCTGAGCTCTCTTAGCTTTTCTGGGGCTGACTGGGTGAATCCTGAAGGGTGTACGTAGAGTCCTAAAGCCCCAACATCTTACACCTTGAACCCCTAGGCCCTAAACTTAAACCCCAACACCCAAACAAGACATTGCTGAACCCTAGCACCGAAAACACACGCTAAATTCTAACACCCTACTAATCTTAAACCCTAAAGCCCCAAACCCAAAAACCATTGAATCCCTAAACCCTAAACCCTAAACCCTAAACCCTAAAGCCCCAAACCCAAAAACCATTGAAGCCTACCCAGCGAGAGTGCTCCCCCGGACCCTGTGCTCCGAATCCCCCGGCCCTAGGGCAAAGCTGCGCAATAGGGCCATGGGAAGGCAAAAATAGGGCTTTAGGGTTTAGGGTTTAGGGTTTAGGGTTTAGGGTTTAGGGTTTAGGGTTTAGGGTTTAGGGTTTAGGGTTTAGGGTTTCGGGATGGGGATTGAAGGTTCTGGACCTACGGGGAAACAGGGTTATAGGGCTACAGGGTTACACATAGTGTTGTGGGGTTGCAGGGATTCAGGGTCACAGGCTGCAGGGCTTCAGAGGATCATCGGGTCGTAATATGGACCTTAAGTATAATGTGACGCTTCCTTTCGTGCCTACACGAAGAACACTAGCCTTTAGCACATTCGTTCAGCATGTCTTCCGTTGAAGTTGTCGCGTGGCATTGATAGTGAAGTTTTCGAAGCTTCGACGTTTTGATCCGGACAGCATCAGCGAGTGCCTATGTTGCAAGGTAGTGTGTTTGGCCATTCACAACACATACTCTGAAACCTTAGAACCCCTTGAGCCCACGGCTGTTGCTGACCCTGCTGACCCCCGTCAGCTCTCATCATCCCACGCCCGCTCTCAGACCACTGGTCCACAGTGTTGCATGGTTTAGGAATGTCAGCCCGGGTGCATCCATGAGCTGTCGATCTTCGAAATTGCCCAGAAGCACATCCACGCCTGAGACCAAGCTTTAGGGTTTTGGGTTTTGGCCTCAGGGGCGTTGAAGGAACAACATGACCTTGGTGAGGAGCTTCACCAAGACTGGACTAGAGCATATACAGAAGTCCTCCCCGACACCAAGCCCTTGCGCCGAGAAAAGACCCTGATCTCTAACCCACGAAGCTCTGCCTTGTGCGCCAAGTCCAGTATGCACGTCGACCCATGCAATCTCCTTTGCCGGCAGCTTGCCGAAATGCTCTTTGAAGAAGTCTCGCAGCAGAACGTGCGATTTCTGCAACTCACGGCCGCCGAAGAACATCCCTTGATCCTTGGTGTATGTGCCACCGACGAGCGCGGTCTTGATGTATCCAAAGCCATAGGCAGCAACGTAGGACGCCATGTGGGGCCAAATGGCAACATTCCGGTAGAACCAACTCGGCGTCACCGTCGGATTAAACAGAGGATCGAAACCTCAGGATTTAAGGTTTAGGGTTTAGGAACAGAGGATCGAAACCTCAGTTCCTATTTTTTTAGTGACCACATGAGGGATAGACGGTCAATGTCCGTCTTTGGGCATCTCAAATAAAATTCCTGAACAAGAGCCTAGGAACTGCTGTAGATCGTCGCAAGTTTGTCTTCGGTTCGCAACCTCTCGAACTCCTGCGGTAAGAGACAGTTGCGGTTCAGGTCCACATTTTTCTCGTTGCAGCGACGGAAATGCGCCATGCCGTATGGATTCCTGAGGTCAAAGAGAAAGAAACACGTCTAGGGGGTTTAAGGTTTAGGGTTTGGGGTTTAGGGTTTAGGGTTTAGGGCTTAGGAGTCATGCCTATTGCACGAAGCCACCTAACACTCCAGTCTGATTGTTTATGCCATTTAGGCCTCCATCGTGCAGATCTTCAGAACCTCTTCAGCGCATACCAAAGATACATAACAAGGCAGATATCCGAATTCGGGATCGCGAAGCAACTTCCGAACGCCAAAGCCGAGACCCCAACCTACACCGAGAATCCTAGACCCCTACAACATGACAAAATAAGCAAAAAGAGACCATGGTGGAAGAGACACACAGCATGGACGAACACCGCAGTAACGCCGATGGACAGCTCCTCATGTCACTTCGAGCAGGGGGGGGGTCTGACGTTGGCATTCGCGGTTTAGGGCTTAAGGTTGGGTTTGGGACGTTCCGGGGGCTCTGATTTCAGGCTGAGGGCGCCGCATTCAAGATTTTTCAGGCTTTGGGGAATCTGGCCTAGCCGAGAATGAACTCATTTCAGCCATTGGGGTGTCGACCATGTCCTTTCAGGCTACCCTCTACACCCCAAACCCAAACCCTAGACCCCTACACGCCAAAGCCTAAACCCTTCTCCCCTAAGCGGTACGTTCCTCTTCTCCGAGGAAAGGTCGCTAACACTGAGCTGTCGATTTGAACAAGTTGTACTATGGTAGCTTACACCAAGTTCCCTATGAAGTTCCCAAAAGCCAAAAGAAAGCAACCCTTGAAGCACCTCATTGAAAGTCTTAGGCTAAGTTCCCCCAGAAAAACGCAATGCTTCGGCGTCTGAGTCCTGCCAGTGCTTAAGGAGGCCCAGCTGGATACCGCTGCCCGCATAGCCTGGGCTCAGGGTTTCTGAGCCAACAGGGGCGCTGAAGATCTGTGGGTGCCGGATTTTACGGTGTGATCCAAGTATTGGAGGGCCCTAATCTCTGTCGTGGGCTTCCCATGAATTCAAGCTTCGGGTAGAGGGCCGGGTCTAAGGCTCCGGGCTTAAGTGTTCAGGGCTTAGGGCTTCGGGTCTATTTGAGGCCTCAGGGATTCGTGTTGCAGGCTTAGGCTTTTGGGCCACATGTTGAGACAGTCGTGTTAGATTCAAGTCCCGGTTCTTGCTAAGGGGCATTTAAGACATGCCGCATTGGCTACAATACCCCTATTTACGGCAGCTTGTCCTTGACACGAACCCAGAGTTGAAGAGGTACGTCTTTCGGCACCCTTCGGGTTATTGGGAACATGCCCAATACTGACATTCATCAATAACAGGCACAGATAACACCAGCATCATCATTATTCCTCGTTCATCATTATTCCGCGTCATCATCACCGGCACGATCATTATCGCTTTCAAAGCACACGTCATAATTACAATGGTATTGCCGCCTATCGTAGAAGCGGTCACAGGTGAGAAGGACGCAGGTATCAAAAGCAGGAGGAGGCTTGAAAGGCCAGTCCAGCCTTAACTTAAGATCGCAGAACCGAATACCGAGGCAGTGAGACTTCGCACAGGGTGCTGGAGCACATTACGGCATGACTATGTCAAGTGATTACCTGGCAAACACTGCCACTGATTATTCATTACACTTTACACTAGCGCATTTCGAGTGAGTTAGAGAGAGGGTCACGTGGCGTGCGCGGGAAACCCTGGGAGGCACAAAACCGAAAAAGACAAAAAACCTTTGGGCTGCCGGGAATCCCTCGACGCCGTGCGTCCCGCTCGTGATGACCATCACGCCTTCCCGCCAGCTTGCTTGGAGAAACAGGCTCTGAGTGCAGTGGGGTTGGGGTAACGACGGAACATCACCGAGTGCTGCACCTTTCCCAGGCTTGCGTATGATGGCGATGTCGATGGTGTACCTGGGCTGAGACGGTCAGATAAGAGTTCGGGGAGTGTGTGGAGCTGCGTCTAGGATGCGTTCCTTCATCCAAATGCCCTGAAGAACAACCGTGGCCTCAAAGGCAAACAACAAACTACATGAAGCAGGTTCTACTTCATTAATATTAAATATAGGGGTCATAAGAACTCGGATCAGGCTTTTGAGAACAACCCTAAACCCTAAACCGTTATCATATCTTCATACAACGACTAGTATAAGGGGATACTATTATTGTTCATGTCGACCCGGCCCCCAAGTTGCAGCTCCTTCCAAGCCCAAAGCCCTCAACCCCCACGAAAACCTTAGGATCTCTCCGAAGCTTTGAATCCCCCCTGAACCCCTCAACTCTAGAAGCCCTGAACCCTCCTTTCTGAATCCGAAGGCAGAGAAGGAATCGGGCTTGGTGAGCTAAGGCTTTGGGAAAGGAAGGGTCTGCGGGACTGACGGCTTTCAGGCCCCAGGAAGAGGATTTACAGATTTCGGATTCTAGGTTTAGGGTTTAGGTTTTTTTGTTGTGGGTTTAAGGTTGAGGGTTTAGGGTTCAGAGATGTTTGTTGTGGGTTTAGGGTTTAGTGTTGGGCTGGACATCGTACCAAGAGACCTTCCCTCCTCGTCTTCGGCCACCGGCAGGGAGTGCCTCTGCGCTGGGAACTGCAAAATAAGTTTCAGTCGCTTGGCTCAAGTATGTACGTACGTGTATGTACAAATTATGATGTGATATGATATGGCATGGTATCGTATGATATGACATGATATGATATGGTATGATATGATATGATATGATATGATATGATATGATATGATATGATATGGTATGGTATGATATGGTATGATACGATATGTTACGATATGATATATATCTATATATATATATACATATACATATACATATATATATATATATGTGTGTGTATGTATGTAGGTCTGCATGTACATCTATGCATATACATATATCTATGGAATCTATGTATGTAAACATCCTTAACATAAGGGCCCTTGAATAAGACATCCCGACTTCACGGTGGCGCTGGTGGTGAATTGAGGTGGGCACTGCAGTATCCGCTATGTTTGGGCAAGAATGAAGCAGGCCAAGTGGAGCGCACAGGCCCCAAGCACTCCCTGGTCCCTGGTTTCCTTGGTCTGCCGTCTGAACCCACTCCTAAAACCCTCTGCAACCCTGAAACTCTAACTGATACGGCCTTCGAAAAAGTCGAGTCTCGAAGACTTCTCGAATGCTTCAGAGATGGTTCATGCAAGGAACATTTCGGCTTTCAGCTCCCCAGCCGCAGCCAGGAACTTGCCTCTTGCCTCTCGAACCGAGGGACATCGGGTTTAAGGTTTAAGGGTTGAGAGTTAAGGGTTCCCCTAAACCCTAAACCCTAAACCCTAAACCCTAAACCCTAAACCGTTTAGGGTCTTGGCCTGAACCCCAACCCTAAACCATTTTTATTAGGGTCGAGGACTAGGGCTTGGGTTTCTTGTCCAGGGCTGAGGGCTGTGCAGGCTTGCACATTTCAGGTGCAGGGTGTCCTCCAACTGGAAGCCTTGGCTTGATGATCCTACAAGCCTGAACCATCTTTAGGGTTTAGGGTTTAGGGTTTAGGGTTTAGGGTTTAGGGTTTAGGGTCACTTGCACCGCAATCCTTAAATAGAGCATTCGACCCAAGACCCCATCGAAACCTGAAGTCGAAACGAGAAGCTCTGACCCCTTTAGGGAAACGAGGGTGATGACCAAGATCTCTCATGGAAAGTTTTGGACCCTTCAATGCGCAATCTCAATGCGCAAAAAACAAGACCACCAATTGGGGCTGCCCGGGCCTCCTCATAAGACTCCGAGAAGCACAAGCCCACATCACCGGATGTCATCGCGGCAACAGGCGGAGCAAAACAAACAGATCGACGGTTCTCCTGTAGTTTACGAGGGCGTAGGAATTTGGAGGTGTGGGGGTCTTGGGAAAGTTTAGGGTTTAGACTCTTCTTCCCACGGCTTTGGGTTTAGGGTTCACAATCTCACAATCCCTGCATGATCCGTAAAGAAAGAACCCATATGCTGTAGAGCACTCTGCCTCTACACTTCGTCGCATAGGAATTTTTTTACATTTAGTCGCAGTAACAAAGAGAAAAGGACAGCTGTTGTCGCTTTCCCGGAAAGCCCAACGTTCCTCAATGAAGACATGCCTTTGAGTACGAATCGGCAGTCTCATGCAGCTCCAGAGCATGTTACTGCAGTGGCACTGAGAGTGTTTGGCGTGTCTCATACTATATTGATGTAGGAATCAGATCAGTGAGCATGACTGGTATAATTATTAGTTTCTACAAGCCGCTATATTCCCAGAACAGGACTTGGTTTGGGGGTTTGGAGGCTTGAGACGTCCGGGTTAATTTAGCACTTCGCGTACCAGAAAAGGCCCTACGGGCTCTCCCCGACCCGAAACCTGGCAGAACCGAAAAGGGTAAGAGTGCTGTCTTTTTTGCTGTCGCTAGTCGCTGCGGTGAGCGTTGGCTGTCGCTGCTGGGGCGCGTTATTTGTTTCGCTGTTGTGCCCGGAGGGCGCGTTCTTTTCTTTGCTGTCGTTGCGGTGGCACATTGTTATCTGGCTGTCGTCCCAGGCGAACATTAATTTTTCTGGCTGTCGTTGCGGCCGTGCCTTGTTTTGGGCAGTCGTCCCGGGGACGCGCTTTATCTTGCTGTCGTTGCGGGGGCGCGTTCTTTTTGTTGCTGTCGTGCCGTGGGCCGGGGTTCACTCACTCACTGCATGGCCTCCTGGGTCCGCGCAAAGACAGCCAAAGGCAACTACAGCAAACAAGGTACGGGTTCCCTTCCAAAGGGTTGAGACCGGCCGCAAATGCAAACAAGCGTAACAAGCAGTATCCCAAGAAAGGAAGAAGAGCAACGAATGGAACTTCTACGCGTTGTGGCCGGCCCAGCACAAACAAGGAACCATATCCTATTTAAACTAAACATACACTTACAACCCTAAACCCTAAACCTAGATACGACCCTTGTCGAACCCTTCATAGAAGCCTTCTGGAGAGAGCCCTTCAGAGAGTCTCTACTCAACCCTAGAGATTCCAGAA